CACCTCACTGTTACATGGGTTTAACCATTTGTAACTAATCGGAACTTACCTTGTGGTGCTAGGTCAAGGATTTAATGGGTTACTGTGCTTAAAGTTATAATATATTACTTTTCATTTGACTAAGAGATATTTGATTCTAGTTTAAGAGAAATTAAAGTTATTCTTGATAAAGATATTTAGCAATAATAAAAAGGAGGGGCTCAGTATTTGCAAAAAACAAAAATAGAGGTAGAACAGATGTCTTAGCAAGAGAAATTTGTGCAATGGAACAGAGATAAAGCTAGATGTGCGTATTTCTCTGGGTCTGTAAGGTGGGCAGGGCGGGTGAGTCGTGTGTAAGGGGGCTAATGGTGTGTGTTTCCGCATGAGTTCTTCACGGCCAAAGCTGGGGCACTTGACTTTGTGTATTTGGGATAAAAATGAAGAATAACTAGAAAAAGTTGAAAGTAATTTTGATTTTAAAATCAAAATGCTTCAAATAGTCAGTAAGGGGTAAATAATGTTTACTCACCATACATATTCTCTCTTGCTGGGACCACAATTTTGGAAGCAGGAATCAAAACTTTGAGTCATACAATGACTCAAATACAAATAATCACCCCAAATTCCAATGTAAATATAAATTAAAATGGAAATATGTTTGCTGACATGAATGATGTCTGCAATAAAGCAAAATGCTTTTACAGGCATATTGCAATTTCATTGAGCAGATTTTATGAAAACTATAGAAGGACCAAAGAAGACAAATACCATCAACTGTATAAATTTTGCTTGTTTAAAATATGCACATTTATTAAAATATGTCAATTTGAAAAACTATTAATATCCTCTTTAGTGTGCACATTTATTATTATTTTTGTGTTTTTAGTTAACAACAAAAAGCATTTTTATAGTTTAATTTGTACCCCTGTTATATAGTCCATTATTTCAATAGATCTTAAGTTTTTAACTATTAATCTGCAACCTTAGGAACTTTTAAACAGGTCTCTCTAGTGTAAGGCCACTTTATGAAAATTAAGGTAGTTCTATTATAAAGTAATGCTTTAATACCCATCTCTTTACACAATCATCCTGATATTATTCCTCAAGGAATATATATTTTACATGGGACATCCAATATATTGGTTTGAAGCGTGAATATACCTTTTATTTTAGTCTGGTGTTTTATGAATTGTGAGGTCAGATGTTGTTTTGCTTTTAATAAAGTTGAACAAGTTAGTTTGTTTCCTGTAATAGATTTTACATTTTAGAGTAGTTTTAGTTTCACAGCAAAACTGAGTGGAAAGCGCAGCTACCCACATACCCTGCATCCCCAAACACTTGCAGCCTCCTCCGCTATCGACAGGCCACACGCGAGTGGTACATTTTTTGTGTTCAACAAAACTACGCAACATATCATTATCACCCAAAGTCCGTAGCTTACATTAGGGCTTACTCATGATGTTGGACATTCTATGGGTTTTGACAAATGTACAATAACGTGTTTAAATGTATTTATTGTATACAAATGTATTATACATTATACAAATGTATAATATTATTGTCTCATAGAGAATAGTTTCATTGCCCTAAAAATTCTGTGCTCTGTTTATTCATCCCTCTCTGCCTCAAACCCCTAGCAAACAATGATCTTTTTACTATCTCTATAATTTTACCTTTTCCAGAATGTTATATATTTGGACTCTTACAGTATGTAGCCTTTTCAGATTGACTCCTTATACTTAGTAACGTGCATTTAAGTTTACTCCATGTCTTTTCACGGATAGGTAGTGAAATTTCTTTTTAGTACTGAAAAATACTCCATTGTCTTGATGTACCACAGTTTATTTATCCATTCACCTACTGAAGGATATCTTAGTCATTTACAAGTTTTGGCAATTATGAATAAAGCTGCCGTAAGCATCCTTGTGCAGGTTTTCTGTGGGCATCGTTTTTAAGTCCTTTGTGTAAATACCAAGGAGCACGTTGCTGGATCATATGGTAAGAGTCTATCCAGTTTTGTAAGAAACTGCCAAACTGTCTTCCAAAGTGGCTGCGCCATTTTGTATTCTCTCCAGCAGTGAATGAGAGGTCCTGTTGTTCCATATTCTTGGCAGCACTTGGTGTTGTCAGTATTTTGAATTTTTGCCATTCTAATAGGTGTGTAGCAGTATCTCATTGCTGTTTTAATGTGCAATTCCTTAATGATGTATGATGTGGAGCATCAACTGTATGTTAATGCCTTTTTGTAGTCACCAGACATAGGTTACAGGAGCACTTATTTAATATTTGAAGTATAAATGAATGAATGATAAAAGGAGTAAAATCAATTCTGACCTTAATGGTGACATTTCTGATACCATTAGAGGCCAAAACTGAGATGGGGTGAGGTAGCTTTGCCGTGAAGTCCTTCAGGAGCATCATGTGAGCATCTGTCTTCTCCGCGGTGTTCAGAATTCACTCTGAACACACACGTTTCCTGCAAGATCAATGTACTCATTCATGTGCTAAAATTCATCTGGATATAATCTCCTTTCAGAGGAGAAAGTCTGTGTACCTCTAGCAGTCACTGTTCTCCAGCGTGCCCAGTCACTTTGAGTGCGATTGCCACAGTAGGATTATTGTTCTAACTAACTAGAAGAGGGTGCTAGCAGAACACTTGCTATTTAAGGTGTATGCGCGGTCTACAGATAGGAACAACCTTGTGCTTAAGAAAAAGGTAGTGGCAGATGCATTTGACCCTAAATAAAGAACATTTTCATTTTAGCATCAAGCTTTCTTCAAACTTTTCTGTTGGTCCATCTAATCAGTTATCTTTCATCATTGCAGCACCTTTAACCAGGTTCCAGCATGGTGTAAGCGGGAATTCAGAAGAGACTGTCTAACGAGTGCTGAGATCCTAGAGCAGCTCAGTTTGCTCTCTTCATTAAGTCAGTAGAATTCAAATTACTCTGTAATAGAAAGAAGTGTAACTCTAGTGAACCGAAGCATCTAAATCATGCTGAACTGTTTCCTAAGGACCAGCACCTGAACCAGTGCAGATGAGGCCAACCATAACTGTGGACTCTCAGAGTAGAAATTCTATTTTATTTCTTTATGTATCTATGAAATAGACTTGCCTACTTAATATTTGAAAGTAAAGCAAAACTTCCCATCTTCACTATCTTCAACAATGTACTTCAAAGCACTTGTGCTTTCTATTTGTAAATACTCTTCTTTTCTTCCTAATTCCAGAAGCTAAGAAATTCTAGAATTTGAACTTTTGGGGGAGAGTAATGTGTTCTTAACCCATAGCATACTGGACCTCATGGGAGCATTATGCTTTCTATGCATTGTAGAATATCGCATATAAAATTGCATATTATTTTTTGACAAAGGCCTTTCGATTAAAATGTTTCTAGCCAAATAGATTCTTATTTAAGAAATATAACAGCTGTTTCTTGTTTTTTTTTTTAACCAGACCCAAAACTGAGTGCAGCACTAAGGAATATTATGGCACAGCTGTGGATGTAAAAGAAACATGTAATTGGAGAATTATCAGAATATAAATAAGTGAAATCCATCCCTTATATATTTTTGTATGACATAACTTTGGGTTTTGAGTTTAATATTCAGTACAAACTTTATTATGTTCAACTCTATGAAGAAAATTGCATCTGACATTGAGGAAGGAAAATGCAAGAAGGCGTAGTCTTTGACCTTAAAAAAACTTCAGTGACTTCGAAGAGCCCAAAGATTGAAAAAAAAAAAAACCTTTGTATTTTAAAATAATCAATAACATAACACCTCAAGATAAGTATAAGCAAATATGAGGGTAGGATAATAACTGAAAGGATGGGGTACTTATTAGAAAATACGTTTAAGGAGAAAATATTTTAGAGACTAGAACTTGAAGGACAAATCCAAATGGGTTGCAGAGAAGATAACAATCTAGGCTTGCCATAATAACAATTACTGTTTGATATTATTAGTAATAATAATTAATATAGATGATAACCATCATCACCTACTATATGCAAAACACTTGCTAAGTGTTTTATAGTTGTTGTTTCAATGTTCACAACAAATAAATGGGGTAGGTACTATTTTCATTAATATTTAAAAATTTTGGGCACCTTAAGGTGGTTGAGGCAGCTGGAAAGATCTATGCAGATTATGGAAAGAGAATTTCAGTCAGTTGCTCTCGCTGTTAACCACAGTGCTCTCTCTGTGGTTAGCTAAGCATACGGAGACAAGCTCTGCTATGAGACCTGGCCTTCTGTGAATACTCTTCAGCTGCTGTTTGATCGAAGCCGCAAGATTCATGAGTCCAAAGCATGTTTTCTTTTGGTGCATAAATATTAGAGAATCTGAGGAGCAGGTAGAGGCAACCACACAACTACTAGGCAAGTATTGATGAGAAGAAATAAAGAAAATTAAAGCAAAAATAATAAAAAATAAACAAAACTTCCATCACAAAAAGAATCTGCACACCCAAATTCCAAAACACATAACAAACCTGGTGCTAAGAAAAACAGTAAATAAAACTAACAGATAGAATTCAAAGTAGATAATATTAATTATATGGAAGAACATGATAGAAATTTTATTTTATTTTTAGATGGACAGGAAGTAGTATTTATTGGTGGGCGTGAGTGGGGCAGGGGCGCTGTTGAAGCCATCACAAGTGCAGAGCTACCATTTGTCCAGGAGGCCAGGATTAGGGATGTATTTGACCTCACAGCCATCTGGGATGAGCCACATTTCGGCCACCATGCCTTCAAATTCATCCTCGTTAAACTTAATGAAGACTCACTTTTTGGAGATGTGGATCTTCTGGCAGCCAGGGAACTTGAACTTGGCCCTGCACAGGGCCTCAGTCACATGTTCCTTGTTCTGCAGTGTGGTATGGATGAATATGATAACTTGGTCAATGTGGACCCTTGTCACTGTGCCCTGGGGCTTTCCAAAGGCACCCCACGTACCAGTCTGGAGCCTAGACTGGGGACAGCGTGAGGTCAGAAATGAATGCCACTGGAAAGAGCTGTCTCCAAGGTGCCTTAGGCCAACCCATGCAAGCAGCAGGCTGCATACACTACCTGGGAGGCTGCTGTTGGCAACAATTGCATACCCAACCGCCATGGGGAAAAGAGCAATGTTGGCTTAATTGACTGTAGAGACAAAAATTTTAAAACAGGTGTTTCAGGTAACTCTAAGAGATGAATGCAAGAATATGAAAAACATCAATTATTTATAAAAGTGTTAAGAGAGAAAATGAAGGAACAGCTGGATATAAAATAAGGACAATTATAGACCTTGGAAAGAAAACTTATGTACTTATAGCCATTGGAATAATTTAAAATACAAATAAAGTTATTTTAGAAAAAACAAACCCTCTTGTCTGGACAAGTTTGAAAAGAGAAATAATGACTCATAGTGTACTTTGAGGAATTAGCTTAGAATTCCACACAAATAAAAAGAGGTGTGAATGTGTGGTATGTGTGTGTGTAGTTAAGAGACATGAATGGGGCTGTCCCTATGGCTGAGTGGTTAAGTTTGCACACTCTGCTTAGGCAACCCAGGCTTCACTGGTTCGGATCCTGGGCACAGACCTATGCACCACCTATCAAGCCATGCTGTGGTGGAATCCCACATAGAAGAACTAGAATGACTTACAACTAGGATATCCAACTATTTACTGGGGCTTTGAGGAGAAAAAAAAGAGAGGAAGACTGGCAACAGATGTTAGCTCAGGACCAATCTTCCTCACGAAAAAGCATGCCTAAAAAAAAAGACATGAATAAATTGAGAGTTTGTAATATGTATCTAATAGTATATATGTATGTATAGCATGTATGTATGTACGTATCTAGTAGTATGTGTAATATGTATCTAATAAATTGTAAAAGAGAATGGAGAGAATGATGCAGATGCAATATTTAATTCTGAAAATATATTTTATCATGAATTTAATTATATATATTGAGTAACTTATTTACATTGTGACGGAACAGGAAGAGTCAAGAATGCTGCAAGATTTTTATTAGGAACAATCAGAAAGATCGTATTGTCTTTACTAGAGAAGGAAAGACCATAGCTGAAGGAGGCTTGCGCAAAAGATGACACTGATTTTGGATACCTTAAATTTGAGATGACTACATATGATGGATGAGTTAGCAGCTGGAGTTGAGAAGACAGGTCTAGCCCGGATATATAAATCTGGTAATCCTTGTCAGAGATGGTATTTAAAACAATGGTCATGAATGAGATCACTGAGATAGTGAGGGTGAAGAGAGCAAATGGCCAAGTACTCAGCCATGAGTTAGTCCAGAGTTGAGATGTCTGAGAACCAACGGGGACTGACAAGTAGAAAAAAAAATTATCTCAAGGAGAAGGATTGATCAACTGTGTCAAATGCTGATGATAAAGCAAGAAAGACAAGAATCAAGAATTGTCCTATGGATTTGTCAGCAGTGAGATCATTACACAAAGTGTGCAAACATTTTTTAAATGTGCATACATATATTGCTTATGGATACACACACATATGGAACTTTATGCCAAATTCAGGCTAGGAGCATATGAAGAAAATTTGGCCTCTTTTCCACTTTAACAAGACACACCCCTTATTAGTGGCATCAGATTTATAGTAATACTAAAACAAATCAATGTCCCAATCAATTCAGTGTATAAAACCATCAAGAGGGCTAACTTAGGTAAGCTTGGAGCACAAAAGCAAATGATAAGCCTGCTTCTCTTCCAGCTACACTTTGTGGGAATTTCCCAGTGATGCTGGGAAGAAAACAGAAGTACTAAATAAATCATCGTCCTTTGAAATTTATAGCAGTTAAACTTTGTTTTTTGGATTGAACTACAACATCAGATCCTCGCTGGTACTACTTCAAAAAGGACTTGCTCACAACAGTCAATATTTGGCAAGCTTCAATTAAATCATAAATAATAAACAACGTCCAAATTTTTCTTCCGGGTTAGCCTTGATGAGCTTTAGTCATCATGTATGCAATGGTGATGGACTAGCAAAGACTGGACAAGACAATTTTTAAAGTTAATGGCATTAGCTTTAAACGGCATAGCTTTGATATGTCTTATGCAGTTGTACCACGTGTATCTGAATGTGAAAATATGTTCTAAACTTTTTTTTTCCTGAAACAGAGGAAATGGTAAAATAAATTTTAGTAAAACTCCAAAAATAAGAATTCAGTTCTCTTATAAAGTCGAAGAAACAGGGAGATCTCTGAACTTCTGTAGTCACTGAGCTGGGTGCCTAGGATAAAATGGCTTTTTTGGGCTGAGAATTCCCAGCAGAATTGCAAAGGGAGTGTGGCAGGTGTTCAAATCTTCTCTGGCAGATCAGGAAGAGAATATCCTCAGGATTAATTACAAGTGAATTAACTGATCTTGCCTAATGATTTCACAACAGATTTACTTTGCCTAGTAACTGCTCTATGGGCAAAGTTATTTTATAAACTACAATTTATTGTATTGCCTGGTGGGGTTGAATTGGCTGGTGAGGTGCATGTATCTGGAATTAAAAACTCAGAGACCAATTCCATGTTTCTGTATGTTTTGCTTATTGCTCATGCACTGCGCAGCAGAAATCCAGGACTCGTCTTTACTGTTTGTTTATTTATTTTTCACAAAGAGAGGAGAATTAGTAAAAACTACACAGCAAAATGAGAAAGAACATGGGTTCTGACAGGTGTTGGGCCTGGACCAATCCTGGCTCTACCACTTAGTAGCTGCTTGAACATGGGCAGGTTAAATAGCATGATTAAGCCTCAGGTTTGTCATTTCTAAAATGGAGATTCTTAAGAATTTTTTGCCTGTAGGGCTGCTGTGAGGATTCAATGAAATAGTGTATGTAAACACACTTTGTACAACACCTGGCATAAAATAAGCATTCAACAAATGCTCGTTTAAACACACACATACACTCAGCACCTAGTGATTTTTTTCCAACGTTACTGAGATATAATTGACAAACAGCATTGTCTAAGTTTAAGGTGTACAATATATTGACTTGATAACGTTTATATCTTGCAATACGATGACCACCATAGCATTAGCTAACACCCCCATCATGCCACATAATTATCATTTCATTTTGTGGTTTGAACATTAAGATCTACTCTCTTAGCAACTTTCAAGTACATAATGCAGTATTGTTAACTATAATCATAACGCTGTGCATTACATGTTCAGAACTTTGTCATCTTCTCAGTGGAAGTGTGTTACCCTTTGACCGACATCTCCTCATTTCCCCTACTGCCCAGCCCGTGGCAACCACTATTCTACTCTCTGTCTCTACAAGTTCAGCCTTTTTAGACTCCACATATAAGTGAGATCATACAGTGTTTGTCTGTCTTTATCTGACATATCTCACTTAGCATAGTGCCTTCAAAGTCCATCCATGTTGTTGCAAATGTCAGGATTTCCTTCCGTCTCATGGCTGAATAGTATTCCATTGTACATATATATGCCATGTATTCCTTATCTGTTCATCCATTGAGGAACGCTTAGGTTTTTTCCATACCTTGGCTACTGTGAATAATGCGGCAATAAACATGGGGGGCAGTGCAGACATCTTTTCAATATTTTGTTTTCAATTCCTTTGGATATACACTCAGAAGTGGGATTGCTGGATCATAGGGTAGTTCTACTTTTAGTTTCTTGAGGAACCTCCATACTGTTTTCCATAGTGGCTGTACCAATTTACATTCCCACCAACGGGGCACTAGACTTCCCTTTTCTCCACATTCTTTCCTACTTCTTATTTCTTGTCTTTTTGATGACGGCCATTCTGACAGGTGTGAGGTGATGTCTCATGTGGTTCTCGTTTGCATTTCCCTGATAATTAGGGGATGTTGATGATGATGTTGAGCACCTTTTCACGCACCTGTTGGCCATCTGTGTGTCTTTTTCGGAAAAATGTCTATTCACTTCCTCTGTCTGTTTTTCAATCAGGTTGTTTATTTCTTGTGGAGTTTTTTTGTTGCTGAGTTCCATGAGTTTTGTATTCTCCCTATAAAATATTGCCTAAAATTCAACTGCTAATTAAGCCTGTATGGGGCAAACTTTAGATATGTTATTGAATTTGAAATCCAAAATTCTTCTTACTTTATTTTTCTAAAGAGTAAATCTGATAATGCGACTATTATGCTAAACATTCAGCACCATGACTTCAGCAGCATACAGGGCCTTAAGTGGCTAACCCCAGCGCACCTCTCCTGCTCCTTCTTTCAGCTCTTTCCCCAGTGCCTTATGCATGATTTCGTTGAACGTCTTGTATTTCTAATGCCCGTGCTCTTCTCTGTTTCTTGGTTTTTCCTATTATTTGGCTGACTCCTCTACACATCTAAAGAGGGCTCAGCGTCACTCCCTGAGCAGATGCCTCTCCAGAGCCTTTGAGCGCAACTGTCAGCCTCCTTCACGGATTGTGGACTCCTTGAAGAGAAGGATTGTTTTAACCCTATTTCCAGTACATAAAAGGTCTTTATAAATGTTGACAAGAATATTAATGCTTTTGGCATAAAGTTATTTCTGGAGTGAATGGCATCTCATATATTTAGCCACATTTTTTATCCAATCAGAATAAGCGCTCTCTGATAGTGGAAAGGAGTTATTAATGGCAGCAGAAGCAGGTTCCGTTTCCAAGAGAATTGTCTATTTTAGAGGAAGAACAAATCAGACACAGAGAGACATACCAAGGAGTGCAATGACTCCCACAATAAACTTTTCTTCATCTATAAGAGAAATTAGAGGGCTCGTTAACTAGAAACTTATCTACCATCTTCTAAAATAATAATATATATAAATCAGGATGCTGAAACCCTGAACCTTCTTGGCATGCTGTCCTAATCATCAAGAAAAATTTGTCTTTGGTGAATGATACTGTTCTCTATATTTTTCTCTATTAAAAATGTTTTCTAATTTAAGAAAAAGAAAAATTACTCTTCTTTATTTGTACAAGATGAAATGAATTTTATTGGAATAATAAAAGCTAACGTTTATTGAGTGCTTACCATGTGGCAGTACTGTTATAAATGTTTTGCCTGTATCATCTCATTTAATACAACCATCCGTTAAGTTAGTCATGATAGTTACCTTGTTTTATGGATGTGAAAACAGAGGCAGCAGAGGTTACAAGATGCATCGC